GGCTGCAGGCCAACCTTCTCAATTTACACTCACTTTCTGCTGAGAAATATATACTCATAGGGCCAGACAAAAACTGGACCCACTAAAAACTTCTTGTTTTATTTTATTTAGGTTAAGTTCTTAAAACTACCCCCTACCTTTAACTTTGATGAATTTTTCAAAAAGTGTATGACCTTCATGAGTTATTATCCTCCCAGTCAGCTCAAAAGTAAGTACGCTCTACAACAGGGTCCTTTGGGGCCAGGGTATGAGTTGTGATTGCAAACTGAACTGAATGTTTACAATGTTTAACAATGTATTACGGTAAAGAATATTGCCGTGAAGGGCTAGCCAGATAGCTAAGTGGATTAAAGTGCCTGCTTAGGCAGATACAGGGACTGGAATTCTATCCCCAGCATGCTGTGCTGGGTGAGGCTGGGTCCGAGCATTCCAGTTTTTTTTCAACACACTTAGTAAAAACACTCAGGAAAGAGGACTTCCAGAACTTCTTCAGAAATTGGCAACAAGGGTGGGACAAATGTGTTAGAAGTAAGAGAGAGGAGGATTTTTGAGAAGAACTCATGGAGATGTGTCTTTTCATATAAGGCTCTTTAAAATTTAAACACTCTCCATGTGTTCTGATCATAACTTGTGCCTATGCCGTCAGCCCCATTGTACGTGGCTGCTGTCCTTCACCGAGCTCCATGTCCTCACCAGCTTGTAAAGGAGACCTAGGAACACCCCTCCTCACACCCTCTCCCTCTCTCTTCCCTCATCCTCCAAGCAACCCTAAATCCCTCCACAATGAAAAAGAAAAGAAAGACTCTCTGCGTCACACTTCTCAGAGAGTAATGTCCTTGTCCCAGTATCCACCCCCTCCCCATTGATTGCTTGTGCCTTGGAGTAGCAGATTTGATTTTCTGTTGACTTTTAACCTTTCAGTGACAGTCTTGCTATGTACTCTAGGCTATCCTCAGCTCTTGGGCTCAAGCAGTCCTCCTGCCTCAGCTCCTAAGTAACTGGAATGACAGGCACACACCACTGTGCCAAGTGTCTTGTGACCCTAACACCTAGCTTCCCCTCTGTAAGGTCACATCCAAATCTGCCTCTAACTAGCCAGACCAACCTCATCCTAAGTGGCTGTCCTGAAATTATTTGCTCTGGCTCTGGCTCTGGCTCTCACTCCCACTCCCTGTCCTCTTCTTTTTTCTTCTCTTCTCTTTTTCTGGACAATATATTCTCCATTACCCTTTGGCTCATGAATATTCTTTTCTACTTTTGTTTTATTCTTTCTTTTTTCTTTGAGACAGAGTCTGATTATATGGGTCAATCGGGTCTTGTGCTCTCTGTCCACCTGCCTCAGCTCCTCTAGTGCCGGGATCACAGGTGGGCACCACCACACCTTGCCTTTTTTTTCTGGTTTTGTTTTTAATCCCTTCCAAAACACATTCTCACGCCCTTTTGCGTAGTTTCCTTCCCATCCCTTGAGCAGTGGTGTTACTGGGGGTGCCAGGGTCATGTCCCACAGTGACAGAGAATGAAATTGTGGATAGTAGAAGTGGTATGCTGAGTGCAAACTTATTTAAAAGATGTAAAGACAAGGAAGTAGAGCTCCCACTGGCAGGGAGGGGCTTCCAAGCAGTCTACACATGAGGGCTCTTTGTCTTAGAATTGTTGAGGGCTTTAGAAGGAGTGCTGGCTGCTGGGAAGCCAATGTAGTCACTACCCCATAGAAGACCGCAGACTTTTAAGGGTCCAACCTATGCAGTGTTCACACAGTGCCAGTGGCCAGCCTGGTCCCTGACAGCCCAGCAGACACCTGGCAGATGCTTTGTAAGATCTCTGGCGGGTCATGACTCAGCAGACTCCACTTTGGGGCTGCTGTCCTACTGCCTAGCAGAGTCCTAACATGGTCTCACTCATTCCTATTATGTAGGTGTCCAGATTGAGGCAGGGAAGAAGCCCAGGGCATGATGGGTACAGTGGTGCATCCTTATGATCTCAGCACTAAAGAGCCTGAGGCAGGAAGATAGAAAGTTTGAAGCTCCACCTGAGCAACAAAGAGACTTAGTGAGACTTTGACTCAAAATAATAAAATAAAATAAGATAAAATGAAATGAAATGAAATGCAGGCCGGGGAGATGGCTCAGTAGAGTAAGCACTTCCTGGGCAAGTGCAAGGGCCTGAGTTCAATCTCCAGTTCCCCCCCACACACCCAAAAAAAAAGAAAAGAAAAGAAATGAAATGGCTGGCAAGGTAGCTCAGTATAAAGGCCCTGGGCTCAATCCCCAATACCCCTCCCCTCAGTATCTCCACATTCAAGAAGAAAGCAGAAGGGGGCCTGGCCCTAGCTCAGGCCTTTAAGTGGCTGCTTCCACAAAGCTGTCAGCCTCAGGTTGCTGGAGTTCGAACCTCACACCTCTCCCGCTG